AGCTTAAGGCAGTGCAAACATCCATCTTAGAGGCTCTGGAGAGAACGCCAGAAGAAGGGCCGCAAATCAGGCTGCTAAAGAGCACGTTCAAGCCCGGTTACCTGGTAATGACGTGCGCGGATAGTGCAAGCGCACAATGGCTCAGGGACACTACTCCCACTCTGAAGCCTTGGGAAGGTGCAAGCCTCCAGGCTAAGGACGAGAGTGAAGTCGAGAGGCCGTGTTCTTGCACTGTCTACATCAAAGACGAAGACGGAAAGAGGCTGGAGGCGGAAAGTGTGCTGACTCGATTAAGGGTCAGCAACCGAAAGCTCAACACCCTTTTATGGACCGTTTTGGGCAAAACACCTGCAGAAAAAGGGCAGGTATGGGTCTTCTCAATGGACAAAGAGTCCTTTGAGGAACTCAAAAAACTTCAAATGTGTCCTTACTTTGGCATCGGAAGAATTAAATTCCGTGTCAAGGATGATGGGCACATTAAGAAGGTTGCAGAGGCCGGACCATCGGGGTTGCAAGGCGTAACTGCCGCAACCTCGGCAGTCAAGGCTAAGCAAAAAAGAAAAGAAGTCAAACCTTCAGAGGGGCAAAGCTCTAAAGCAGTGCCAAAGAAGGTTAACACTTCGACCAAACACAAGGCTCGCCCTAAGGATGATAAGTCGAGGGAAGGAGCTAAAGAAGGAATAATCCCGAAAGAAGTCCGTACCGACTTGCAGGGGAGTGCTACAAACCCGCCCAGAAGGCTAAAAGCCACTGAGCGGGTGGCCGCTCCCATGGAAGGGGTAGAGGACACGGGAAAACCCGAAAGTTAGCCTTCAGTTTAGAGGAAGGCAGAGTAAAGGTCCTGCAGGTCAACCTTCATCATGCTAAAGCTGCGTCGGCGGTTTCGTGCAGAAGGTTTGACATGGAAGGCCTGGACTTAGCCCTACTGCAGGAACCATGGCTCCACGGAGGGAAGGTTGCAGGCTTGAAGCCGCAACAAGGTAAGTTACTATACGATGCGAAAGGAGAGACACCTCGAGCATGCATTGTATATGGTAACGAAGTAAACTGTACACTGATTCCGGATCTTTGCTCCGGAGACTTTGCTACAGGTATTTTAACCGCTTCCACCGAGGAAGGTAGTAAAAGATGGTTGGTCTGTTCTGCCTACTTCGCTGGAGAGAAGGTCTTCCGCCCAGGCATAGTAGAGGACGTTATAACCTACAGCCGAAGGGAGAACCTTCATCTAATACTGGGATGTGATGCCAATGCCCACCATCTGGCATGGGGGAGTACGAACATCAACAGTCGAGGTGAGTCTTTACTACAGTTCATTTTAAGCATGGGTTTAGAAATAGCCAATATAGGAAATAAACCTACCTTCGTTACGGCCACGCGCAAAGAAGTCTTAGATGTAACACTTTGCAGTGAAAAAACGTACGATACTATAAAGAATTGGCATGTGTCAGAGGAACCTTCATGTTCCGACCATAGGCACATTCGATTTGATTTAATTACTTCGACTCGAATGGTGGCAAGGTTCAGGAACCCGAGAGAGACGGATTGGGAAGGCTATAGAGGCTCACTCGAGAAGTCTCTTGAGGGAGGAATCGGCACCATAAAAGATACGGAAGATCTCGAACTGACAGTCGAAACGGTGAGGGGAGCTGTTCTGGCCGCTTACCAGGAGAATTGTCCAGAGAGAGAAAAGAAAGGAAAGAAAAACACACCCTGGTGGAATGAACACTTACAAAAGCTTAGGGCAGATGTAAGAAGGCTATTCAATAAAGCCAAATTCAACCAGGACTGGGCCATTTATAGAGAAAAACTGACGCAATATAATATGGAGATCCGAAAAGCCAAAAGAGACTCGTGGCGAAAGTTCTGCGAGGAAGTCAAACAGGCTCCCGCATGTTCCAGAATCCACAAGGTCCTGGCTAAGGATGGTATTGCGAATCAGGTCGGCCTCTTGAAGAAAGAGGACGAAACGTATGTAGAAACCCTGGAGGAAAGCTTAATAATGCTCACCAAGGTACATTTTCCCAGCTCATCCATTGACAATAATCCTTCGGTAGAGGTGGCTCATCCCAGAAGGCCTACTAAGGCGGACTGGAAATTAGCTACCGACATCACGAGACCGGAAAAAGTCAGGTGGGCCATCAATAAATTCCAGCCATACAAATCACCTGGAATGGACGGGATTTATCCAGTCTTGCTACAGAAGGGACAGGATGTGATCATCCCGCATCTAACAAAGATCTTCAAAGCTAGTTTGGCATGGAGATATATTCCAACCGCATGGCGAAGGGTGAAAGTCACATATATCCCCAAGGTCGGTAGGGTAATGGACCAGACCCCCAAGTCATACAGACCAATAAGTCTATCCTCTTTCCTAGCAAAAACGTTGGAAAGATTGATAGACAGGTATATTAGGGACGAAGTGCTGATGGAGAATCCACTTAGCGATCGCCAATATGCATACCAGCCAGGAAAGTCAACTGACTTGGCGCTGGATGATCTTAACAGACTGCTCTCAAAGTCGCTAGATGACAAGGAGATAGCGGTGGCGACGTTTCTGGACGTGGAGGGAGCGTTTAATAACATCTCCTTCGAGTCTGTAACGAACGCGCTTAAAAGGAGAGGAGTTCCTGCCTTCATATGCGAGTGGACAAAGGCGACCTTAACAAACAGGATCATTGTGTCCTCGTTAGGTGAAGCCACTATTGAAGCGAAGGCAGGAAGCGGCTGCCCACAAGGAGGAGTTTTATCCCCATTACTGTGGGCTACGCTTATGGACGACCTACTTAATACACTGTCCAGGGAGGGTTTTTACTGCCTGGGTTATGCGGACGATTTGGTAATTGTAGTCCGAGGACGCTTTACCAAAATAATTTCGGAGAGACTTCAAGTCGCTCTGAGGATGGTGGACAGCTGGTGTGAGGAAGAAGGCCTAAAGGTTAACCCTAAAAAAACATCTGTTGTTCCCTTCACCAGGAAAAGAGCACTGCAAGGCTTACAACCACTAGCGCTCAAGGGAGTAGAAATCCCATTCACAAGTCAGGCCAAGTACTTAGGTGTAATATTCGACCAGAGGCTGACATGGAATGCACACATTCAGAAAGTCACACAGAAGGCCACTATGGCCCTGAATACATGTAGACGAATGTGTGGTAAGAATTGGGGGTTAAATCCTAAAATGAACCTCTGGTTATACACTAGGGTTATAAGGCCCATGATAACTTATGGTTCAGTGGCGTGGTGGAACAAAACGCAACAGTCCGGGGCGATTCGATTGCTCAGTAGCACACAAAGGCTTGCATGCTTGAGTGTTACAGGAGCCATGAGAACAGCCCCAACGGACGCGCTAGAAGTTCTGCTAAACCTACCACCTCTACATATATACATACAGAGTGAAGCCAGATCAACAGTACATCGGTTGATCCAAGGCCAAGCTCCAATAAGTACGATGCAGGGAGCTGATAACTTAAGGCTATACCAGGACATAAAGGCAGACCCCGTTCTAGGAATGCCTGTAGACCGAATGGTTACGAGGTATAGTTTTAACAAAAATTTTCAAATTACAATACCAAAAAGAGAGGACTGGGAAACTGGTCCGCCGCTAACAGCAAACTCAATATGGTATACGGACGGCTCCAAAACGGATACAGGTACGGGGGCTGGAATATATGGCATAAAACCAAGGACGGAAGTCCGGGTATGTCTAGGAACATACGCGACCGTATTTCAAGCCGAATTAGCTGCTATACACAGGTGCGCTATGGAACTAATCGGCCGAAATGTAGATAACGACTCCATCGTCATCTATTCGGATAGTCAAGCGGCTCTAAAGGCTCTCAGTTCGGTAGAGGTCGATTCATGGCTGGTATGGAACTGTTTGGATGTCCTCTCTCAGGTAGGAAGTCGAAACAGGTTGACACTTGCCTGGGTGCCGGGACATAAGGGCCATCGTGGCAACGAGAAGGCCGACGAATTGGCCCGAGAAGGCGCATCTACGCCACTGGTTGGTCCGGAACCCTTCTTTGGAATCGCAAATACGATAAAAAGGGCAGCCATACACAAATGGGTGCAACAGAAGTCTCTTGAGTGGTGGAACAACTCACCAGGACAGAGGCAGGCCAAACAGTTCATCAAAGAACATTCGGCTAAATTTACAGCAGACTTACTTTCGCACAGACGCAGGACTGTCAGAATGATAGTGGGTCTGCTCACTGGGCACTGTAGACTCAATAGACACTTGAGTCTCATAGGCCTGACAGAAGAGGACACCTGTCGTTTCTGTCTGGAAGAAGAGGAAACCGCTCTACACGTTCTGTGCCATTGCGAAGGTCTCGCACGAATGCGGTTTCTAGAACTCGGAGAGGAAAAACCGGAAGCACCAGGCTACATGAAAAGGCCACTATCAAGGCTGTTGAGTCTCATTAAGAGGACCAAGCTAGATGAAGTGCTTTAAAATAAGGGGGGAACACAATAGATCTGCAAAGGTCGCAGTGTATCAGGCTCTATTGGCCGCCCCATTTTCTACATTCTACATTCTAGTTGACTTAAAATATGAAATAATGCTTGCGATTAGATCGGTCATGCTTGAGATATTGAGATACATTTTAGGATAGGTATAGGATATTGTACATGAGATATATCTAAAATATTCTGGGGAATTCAAAAAATGAATAATATACAGATTGTCCTATTTGAACTAAGAAGGTTACTATTGGCTACTGTTACATGACACACCCTGTACGAAAAATTTTTATTGCAAAATATGAGCAACTAAAAATACAACTCGAAATTTCCAAACAATTTTTTGAACAAGCCCCCATTTATTAATTGTCGAATGTATTCCACTAGGCTGTTCCACCCTGTATAGTTTAGTGAATGGTAAATACATTAACTTATTTTTGGATTGTTTTGGAAATAACAAATGTTTTATGTATGTTTGTATTATTAGGATATATAAAATTACCATTTGTAATAAAATATATTAAATGTGGATTATGTTTTAGATACACCTTCAAGATGATTCAAGAATTAGGTGACAAACCGATTCTACATTATTGTAGAGTATCCAGCTAGTAAGCAATAATCTGTGATATTTGTTTGTTTTACTGCACATTAAAAATATATCTACCTAACAGCATCGAAACAGCAATGCAACCAAAAAACAACAAATTTGAAGTATATATTTTACTGAATTAATATATTTCTAGCATGCACAAAATAATAAGAATTCTTATATGTATATCAATATAAAGATAAAACTTAATTAAATAAGTTTTAGCTAATTAAACTAAGGGACCTATACATCATCGTTCTTATGATATTTTAGTCTAGCGTAATTTTGAAAAATTATTTTAAATGTGATCATAAAGCCAGTATAATTTATAGCTCTTGTACGTATCAGTTATACAGCCATTCAATTATCAATGGTGACGGCGTAAAAAATATATGAACTAATTTTCAGCTTTTATGAAAAACTAATGAACAGGTTAATTTATTTCTACAGTTTCTTATTAATTGATAGAATTCATTTGTTTTATTGTCGACATATGTCAAAAATATGAAAACATCGGCATTATTATTAAATGAAAACATATGGCCTGTAATACATCATTTTAAGGTTTTTGTGTTATTCGAGAAGTTACTAGTTCCTATCCGCTATGTGCATTCCTCTTCTTAGCAGTTGGAAACCGATAAAACTTAAAGAATTTACTATTTTTTGTTGTATTTTCACAATTTATACCACAGTATTTGCCATTTTCTTCAATAACTACTTTCGAAATATGCTAACAAAGTTGCAAGATTTCACCGCTGCACGCGCACGATCGTTTCTCGTGTCCCCTCCAAATACTGGCACACAGCAAATATAATTATTGACGATAACATTAAAAAAGTATTAATTAGGGGAAATGCGTACAAAGTGACATACATATATGTACCAAATTACATAAGCGAGTTATTTTGAATTTGGCAGACTTTAACATGAAGCTGACATTTACACGACGTGGCCGTAACGGTACTCTATAGTTAATCAACTTTTAAATAAAATTTTCTATTATGACAAAATTTTGTCCAAATGGTAAATTGTTGCTATTATATCTATTTATGTAGCATTTTGTTTCATTATTAAAACATATTAAAAATAACTTATTTTTAGAAAAAGTGCTTTTGTATATTTATCAACAATTTTATTGTCATTTTTATTAGTACCTCATTTGGCTTATTTAAAGTACACCTCAGCGTGTTTAAATTCAACTTTGTATGGATGTTTTAAAGTTGTCATGGCAACATCTGCATCATTGTCATGTCAAAATATGAATAAAATATTACAAACACATGTTTTAAAAATTTTATTCAAATATTTGAAAATCTTTTAACTGAATGTAATACCAACTACTTGATTAGTGCACTTCCCTTTATACCGTATCGTGTATCACCAAGGGGGGTTTTGGGGGTTATACCCCCTCCCCTAGGGCATATAAAGTAAAAAATATGTAAAGAATAGTAGGAAAATAAAACTTATCTTTAGCACACAATACAAAAAATCCAAAACGCTAATTGAATAATTAAATTTTGATTTTGAAGTTGATTTTGAACTTTTTTATTGGCTAAGGGAAAGAAAATCCAAAAATTCGACATACCCCGTCGGTGTTGACTTTTACTCCTAATAAGTTGGAAATAAAATCTAAAAATGAGCTCTAAGTTGCTCTAAGGCAAGACTGATTGCGGTGATTACAATGTTCGCTTTGGGCTCACGCTTCTTGTTCTAATGTTTCAAGAAGAACTAACTATTACTAATTATACTAATAATTTTTATTTATTATAGGTACGTATGTCATTTTGTCCATTAGCAATATGTCATTTTGTCCATTAGCAATATGTCATTTTGTCATATGGACAAAATGGATTATGATTGATCTCAGTGAAATATTTTTTTTGTTTTTTTTTTTCTAGAAATTTTTTGCAGATGATTGATGTAAGTTATGGATGTGCTGTAAAGCGCCTACCCATAAAGAGTTATGATACAAGAACAAAAATATGTTTAATTTTGTACACTTCGCGTCATATAAAACTGGTACACTTTTTTTTCTCAATGTAAACCTGTGTTCAGAAATCAATTCGTTGTTGCCAGTACAGATAACGGAATTGCACTAAATCTAAATAAAACAATAACGTTCAAAAATGTATAAAATTTTTAGATAGGTATTATTTTTATCATTACCAAAAAAACTGAATCTAAGAAATTAAATAAGCAGAGATAGGGTTGAGTTATTATCCAAAAGGTTTGAAAGATCTTTAATCTAGGGTATTAGCACAGAGAACATTGGAATGGATCTACTGTAATTTTATCTTCAATTACCTACCCAACTCGAACTGTATTCTGTGTCAATAAGTTTTGTAACAGGCAAACTACCAAGATTAATTTATTATTTATTAAAAGAACGATAAAAAATGTGAAAAACTAACATTATACTTTATCCTACGTATTATATACTAGAAAATATTCGGTGCGAAAAAACGCTTGTTAAAACGTAACAGTTACAATCCAATATCTCATTGTAATGGTTTATTATAATAATTTGAAGTTTGTCTATCTGTCATTATTTTTGAATTGAAATATTTTCATAAATTGTTATAAAACACAAATCAATGTATGAGTATTTAATTGAGATGATGGAAAATTACAAAATTAATATGAGAATTTTTTAAAATGCACGTTTAAACAAATTTAATGTGACTCACTGATCGAGAATGCTCGATAATGTTTTAGTTTTTAATATACTAAAAACTGCCTTGCTTTTATCTGGTTTTATATAATATTTTCGTTGAACTGGCAACGGTGCCCTAGAAATCAGAATGACACATCTGACAAGATCAACGTACACAACTTAAAAAACACGATTTTTGATTATAAGAGTTGTACCAGTTTTTTATGACGGGAACGGTACACATTTCCCCTACTAATAATTTGGTAGTTTTCAACTGTTGTGGAAAACGTTCAAAACATAAATTAATTTTTTAATTCCTCACATTATCAGAGAATTAATTTAGTTTATTATTGACATCTGTTAAATAAATATAAATATGACGTAAATATAAAACTCACGATTTTTACATGCATTTAAAATTAGGAGAATACATTGACACTATACATACTCTATACTCTAATTCCACTATTTGGAAGAGTGATTCGTCGTTTAAAGGTGGAGGAGTTAAGAAAGACGTATGAAATCCAGTGGCGTACACTCACTTTTATTTTAATGTTAATTATATTATATTTTTCAAATATTATTGTTCGAAATAGGCCACAATATATTAATTTACAAGTTTTTACTGACGTTTCGATCTCTATATCCAAAGACCGCTTTTAAAGATATAAATGATACTTATATTTATTGAATTTGTTTATTATATATTTTATAATCTTATATTATTTATTTTCTTTTTCTTTCTATCTTTAAAAACGGTCCCTGTAATAGAGATCGAAACATCAGTGTATAAAACATTTAAATAGATATATTGTGGCTTATTTCTAATAAAAATACAGAATGCCACAAATAAAAAGCTATAGAAAAATAAATATATCTGTCATTTGTATGTTTGAAAACGATCTCTTTATACAGAACAAAACGTGCGTAAAGTAAACATTTGAATAAGTATATTCCCAACATTATTTCTAAAAATACAGAACGACAAGCAACAAGCCATAGAAAATATGATCGAAATGTCAGTAAATAAACATATGAATAAATATTTTGTGGCTCATTCCCTACATTCGGAATGCCACAGAACAGAATGCCCCAAACCAAAAGCTATAAAAAACAAGTAATTTTAAAGAAAGCTTACTGATGCCACCTGGCTGTCGCGGAAGTTACGCTAAAACGTCTTTTGACGTGACTCGTCCTTAAAGAGTTACACAATGAAATTTTTTTAAAACAAATTTAAAGACAGTTTCATTATAAACCAAAACTCCAATAAAACTCATACCAAATAATCACAGAATATAACTAAAAATTTACTATAAAACGACAAACTATAACACTCGTATTATCAACGTATTATTAATACGATTTATCAATTTAACAAACTTATTACATATACATAAAATAATATTCACAAAATGCAACACATGCACTACCCTCAGAAACGCCAATATAAATGAACGATTGTTGATTTATTGATCGCCACTTAGGACAGCAAAAACGAGTTTTACGGCTATCTGTGGATCGGAATTACTCCGTCGCGAATTAAAAAGTTGCCAAAAGTTTGAAAAATAATGTTTTAAAATATCAATTTTTATTTTATAAATTTAATTATTTAACGAAACGGAACATATGAATAAAATTTGTTTCATTACAATTTTGTGCTTAATTTTTACTATTGAAAAAATTCATATTTTTTGGTATTTTTATGGCGGTAATAATCGCTGCGTAGAAGAATACAAATTGTGTATGACCATAATTACTACTTGTGAACAAAAATTGGCTACACTGTACGACAACTCCTGTTCAAGTCATGATACTATGAACTAAAGATTAACCCACGCGCACGCGACCAGTCGTGTGACGTCACTTGGCGACAAATGTCACCAGAAATATTCTGTGTTGTATGGAGTTTTGTCAGATTTAGTATTGTTTTATCGTTTATCTTGTACGTTCACATCGGTTTACTGGGTAAACCATCTTTCCGAAGGAGGTTTACTTAAACCATGTCCAGATTTTCTAATTAAATGTAATGAACTGGACCATTTTTTTAACAATTTTAAGATAGGGTCATTAAAATTAACCAAGAATTATTTAAAATCGCTAATGGATTTAGCTGTGTTCAGATGTAATGTTAGTAAACGTAAGTTCAGATGTCAAACATCTTTTTTTTTAGGTGTAAAAATATGTTAAAATTAGAAAATTGTATAGATATATTAAAGAAACATCCAAAGTTAAGAAGAAGAAAATATTAAAAATTGTAAAATAAATAGTTAAATAAACTTGTAAATTATTACAGTGTACTTTGTTTTATTAGTTGTATTAAATTTTATTTT